AGGCGAGCTCTTCAGGGGCATTTTCTTCACAGCACTCATGTGAGCTCAGTGGAGTGGCCCCGGTTCTCCCCTAAACACAGTCACAGCTCTCAGGGCAGCACATTCAGTTTGCACAGATCCCTCTTGCATCGTTTTGTGCCTTGCCACAGTGGATGTGTTTGCAGCACACCAGACACAGTCTGTGCTGACTGCTGAGCCCTCTTGCTGTTCTTTAAGGAGCTGTGATCAGTCGTCTGAGTTCCTGCACCTTCATGGTGTAGCCATAAGCACCTTTATGGGTAGCTGTTTTCTTCACAACAATCGGAGCTGACATCAAATGTTTACAGAAGGATGATACTAGCATCTCTCTGCTATCTGCCAAAATTAGCAATTTGCTCATGGCAGATGGCTCCAAATTAATCTGGTTCACAGATGGGACTACAAATGCAATTCCTCAATAATGAGAGTAAAAAGAAAAGGGATCTCAGTATTTATGACTGTGATTCAGTTTGTTGCAGTGGACCAGAGGCCTGAATCAATGAGATCTCAACAGATACCTGTCCATATGGCTTCCAAAAGAAGGAGCTTTGCAGAAATAAACCCTAGAAGAATATGTTTGTGAAGAGGAAACTATAGAGAATAAAAGGCAAGTTTTCAGTCTTAGTTGCTAATCCTCAGATACCTGCTGGTGGAAGGTGCTGCACTTGATAGTATTAGTGAACTTCAAATTTGAGCGCAAAAAATCCCTTTCCAGATGAGCTGATGAGTGAAAATCTGCCTTAATCTTTGTGTCAACATGACAGCTTAACAGCCTAGAGGCAATCTTTTGTGAACCAGAAGTTATGTTGCATTAAACCATTTTATTCTTGCCCAAGTCCGGTAACTTCCTTAATCCAGTGAGGTTTACCTTAATTTTCCTCCTCACATAGGGTTCTTTATACGCAGAGTCCGGTGCAAAGTTTAGTTCTTACCACCAACAGCCCTTGATTTCTGCAGACTTGCTGATACTTATTAGATGTGCAGGCTCATTACCAGCATTGTCAGCCCTGTGCTATCACTGACAGGACTTTTTAAGTCAAAAGAAACAGATCAGTTGTCAGATACCTCCTGACATAAAAGGCAGAGAGAAGAGTTTTAGAAGCAGTTGGTGCTCCTCATGCCCTGGCATGTCTCATCTGCAGGCAAGTGCACAGAGGTGCCCTGCGGCAGGACTGGGGGTTGTAGGTGTGAGAAACATCATCCTGTCTCATTACCCAAAGAGAGACTTGTGGACTTCCCTATAACTGTTAAGCCTTGCAGCACTAGCTCTTAGCCTAGAAGCCGAGGATGGATGTGGGAACATCACTCATACACAGGGTGAACAAATGAGTCTTGCTTACATGGTTGTAATAGATACATAATGCAGGGAGCATTACAAAGCTGTGAGGTACAAGGAAGTGATCAAATTAAGACCAAAGTGCAAGCAGCCCCGTGTACCCCTTCTGCAGTGCTGACCATTGCCTACCAGCAGTATTTGTGTTTTTCCTGGATTTAAAAGGTTTGGCTAACTCAGGAAGGTGTTGCTGACACCTGGGCATTTGTATCGAGGAATTCTATAGGCATGACCCGTTGTCACTGAATTCCTGCTGTCAAGCAGGAAGAGAGAGGGTAACAGGCTGAGTGGTATGACTCAGTGCAGATACTGTGCCCTTTGGTATGACTCAAACCAGCCATTTCCATGTTAATATGAGAGGTCCACAGTGAAAAGGGAAGGCTGAACCTGTTAGATAGAAACACAGGTTCTGAAGAATAGAAGCAGTTAAGAAAAACTGGCCTCAAGTTCTCAGTACGAAAATATTTGAAAGGCACACTAAGGAAGAACAATTGTGTCTGAAAAGAGAAAACTAGTTGTTACTGCTCCAAAGCCTAATGGCTCTGCTTGCATCCAAGCTTTTCATTATTGGTATTGATGCAGTAATAATTCACAGCTACAGTTAACATGCCTTTGACATTGGCGGCTGCCTTCAGAATGATTCCCATCTAATTAAACTAAGCAGCAGAGAAATCAAAGACCACTTCAGTTAATGATTACATTTAACTGGGAATTTCTTTCCTCTCTCCCCACTGCCTTCCTCCCTGGATAATCTTAAATCCTTGAGAAGGAGGTGTGAGGCAAAAATCATAGAATCATAGAATAGTTAGGGTTGGAAAGGACCTTAAGATCATTCAGTTCCAACCCCCCTGCCACGGGCAGGGACACCTTATGCTAAATCATATCACCCAAGGCCTCGTCCAACCTGGCCTTGAACACTGCCAGGGATGGAGCATTCACAACCTCCCTGGGCAACCCATTCCAGTGCCTCACCACCCTCACAGGAAAGAATTTCCTCCTTATATCCAATCTAAACTTCCCCTGTTTAAGTTTTAACCCGTTACCCCTTGTCCTGTCCCTACAGTCCCTAATGAAGAGTTCCCTCTCCTGCATCCCTATAGGCCCCCTTCAGATACTGGAAGGCTGCTCTGAGGTCTCCACACAGCCTTCTCTTCTCCAGGCTGAACAGCCCCAACTTCCTCAGCCTATCTTCATACAGGAGGTGCTCCAGCCCCTCATCATCCTCGTGGCCTCCTCTGGACTTGTTCCAACAGCTCCATGTCCTTTTTATGTTGAGGACACCAGAACTGCACACAATGCTCCAGGTGAGGTCTCACGAGAGCAGAGCAGAGGGGCAGGATCACCTCCTTCGACCTGCTGGTCACGCTCCTTTTGATGCAGCCCAGGATACGGTTGCTTTCTGGGCTGTGAGCGCACACTGAAGCCGGCTCATGTTCATTTTCTCATCAGCCAACACCCCCAAGTCCTTCTCCGCAGGGCTGCTCTGAATCTCTTCTCTGCCCAACCTGTAGCTGTGCCCGGGATTGCTCCAACCCAGGTGTGGGACCTTGCACTTGGCATGGTTAAACTTCATGAGGTTGGCATCAGCCCACCTCACAAGCGTGTCGAGGTCCCTCTGGATGGCATTCCTTCCCTCCAGGGTATCAACCGAACCACACAGCTTGGTGTCATCGGCAAACTTGCTGAGGGCGCACTCGATCCCACTGTCCATGTCAGCAACAGAGATGTTGAACAAGACCTGGCCCAACACCGATCCCTGAGGGACACCACTCGTTACTGGTCTCCAGCCGGACATTGAGCCATTGACCACAACTCTTTGTGTGCGGCCATCCAGCCAGTTCTTTATCCACCAAGTGGTCCATCCATCAAATTGATGTCTCTCCAATTTAGAGACAAGGATGTCGTGTGGGACAGTGTCGAACACTTTGCACAAGTCCAGGCAGATGACATCAACTGGTCTACCCCTGTCCATCAGTTCTGTAGCCCCATCATAGAAGGCCACCAAATTGGTCAGGCAGGATTTCCCCTCAGTGAAGCCATGCTGGCTGTCACCAAGCACCTTGTTGATTTTCATGTGCCTTAGCATGCCTTCCAGGAGAATCTGCTCCAAGATGTTGCCAGGCCCAGAGGTGAGACTGACTGCTCTGTAATTCCCTGGTCATCCATTTTCCCCTTCTTGACAATGGGGGTTATATTTCCCTTTTTCCAGTCGTCGGGAACTTCATCTGACTGCCAGGATTTCTCAAATATGATGGCCAGCGGCTCCACAACTTCATTCACCAGCTCCTTCAGGACCCATGGATGGATCTCATCAGGACCCATGGACTTGTGCACGTTCAGATTTTTAAGATGGTCTTGGGCCAGTTCCTCTCCTACAGTGGGCGCAAGGTCTTCATTCTCACAGTCCCTGCATCTGCCTTCCAAGACTTGGGTGGTTTGGTCAGAGCCTTTGCCAGTGAAGACCGAGGCAAAGAAGTCATTCAGAACCTCAGCCTTCTCCAAATCCTGTGTAGCCAGTTCTCCCAAGAGCTTCCTGAGGGGGCCTACATTCTCCCTAGTCTGTTTTTTATTTGCTATGTACTTGTAGAATCCCTTCCTGTTATCTTTAATACCTCTAGCTAAGTTTAATTCTAACTGGGCCTTAGCTTTCCTAACCTGGTCCCTAGCTTCCCGGACAACATCCCTGTACTCTTCCCATGCCACCTGTCCTTGCTTCCACTTATTATAAGCCTCTTTTTTCATTTGAATTTTCCTCAGGAGCTCTTTATCCATCCAAGGAGGTCTCCTGGCCCTCCTGCTGCACTTCCTTCTGGTTGGGATTCAACACTCCTGAGCTTGTAGCAGGTGATCCTTGAATATCAACCAACAGTCTTGGGCCCCCCTGCCCTCTAGGGCTGTCTCCCATGGAACCTTCCGAAGCAGGTTCCAGAAGAGGCCAAAGTCTGCTCTTTTGAAGTCCAGGGCAGTGAGCTTGCTGCACGCTCTTCTCACTGTCCTGAGGATCTCGAACTCGACCATCTCATGATCGCTGCATCCAAGGCTGCCCTGGAGAGTCACATTTCCAACCAGCCCTTCCCTGTTGGTGAGCACGAGGTCAAGCATGGCACCTCTCCTTGTCACCTCCTCTATTACTTGCAGAAGGAAGTTGTCTTCTACACAATCGAGGAACCTCCTGGATTGCTTGTGGCGGGCCGTACCGTCCTTCCAACAGATGTCAGGGTGGTTGAAGTCACCCATGAGAACAAGGGCCTGCGAGTGTGAGGCTTTTCCTATCTGTATGTGGAGTGCTTCATCTGCAGGTTCTCCTTGATCAGGCGGTCTGTAACAGATCCCCACAGTAATGTCCCCCATAGCTATATTCCCTTTAACCCTGACCCACAAACTCTCTCTGGGCTACTCACCTGTCCCCAGTGACAGTTCCATACTCTCCAGCCTATCCCTAACATAAAGGGCAACTCCCCCTCCCCACCTGCCAGGCCTGTCCTTCCTAAAGAGCCTGTAACCTTCCATTCCAACACTCCAGTCGTAGGAGCCATCCCACCATGTTTCTGTGATGCCTATTATACCATACCCCCGTAGACATGCACGCATCTCTAATTCCTCTTGTTTGTTCGAAAATGAAGAACTCCGGGGATGTATTGTGTAGACCCAATGGGTAGCACCAGAGCTAGGGCTTGCAGGCTGCAGTGCCAGCTACCAGACATCTGACAGTGGCAAAGAAGTCACTGGCCCCTTCTCCTAGGCCAATATGAAGTCTGTTATTAGCTCCTAGGAGAGCTGATGGGGTCAGGGCAAGAACTGCACTGCAACATGCACAGGCATGTTGTGCTTTTAATTTAACATATAGACACGTTGAAAAGTTGGGAATGCACTGTTACACAAGGTGCTTCCCAGGGAGTTCTCTGTATTAGTGTGTCAGAGTGATCTTAGCACTTGCCTGCATTGGACTCTCTATTGATCTGTTGATGAGGGTTTGAAGTTTCAGAAAACCATATTTCATTACCTATGCAGCATCCATGCATGTGCTGAGTTGATTCACCACCCTTTGCTCATAAGCCCGAATTTCAGCACTAGCTGCTCCCTTACATCACAGAACACATGGTTTTGCCTCTGGTCTATACGACTTCTGAAGCCCTTGAGGGGCTTTTGACGTGGCTATCTAGATTCACTGATACAAATATGCAGGAGAGTCTACCTGGTGCAATAGTCGCAACCTATTTTCCAAGGGAAGCTTCTTTTAATGGGGAAATTAAACATGCATTACAGGATCCTCCAAACAAAGCTCTGGGATCCATAAAGAATTGCAGAATGGTTTAGTAGAAGTCCCCTAGTCCTCATCTGGCTGTTGAATAGAGCTGTGCTTGGGTTTGCAAAACAGAATGACACCTTTATGGCTTGTTTATCCCTGTGATGGACAGTCTTTTGGTTGCAGTGGGGGTGTGTTAGCATCAGAAATAAGAAACAGTCACTGCCTGAGTGGTAATAATAAAGGAAGATCACAACCACGCAGATTTTGTTCTCATGCGAGACCCTGCCATCTGTCTAGATTGTCATTTCTCTGCTATCACAAATTCAGGGATCTTTTCGGAAGCCACAGTGTCTTCTTGGTTAGTACCAGAATGCCAAAAGCACAGCTCAATAGTCAGAATGGGGAGAAATGCAGCCTCCTGGTTTGTGAGCATCAAGATGTGTTTGTGCAGCATCAAACAGCGCTGGGCTGGCACCAGATGCAGCCACTCGCTCCTCCCTGTGATGTTGTCTTACAATTTAATCTCATTCTTTTTTTAAAGGCATGTGGTTGAATAGGAACACAACCCCACTTCTCCCAAGCAAAAAGCCCTGCCTTTTCAAGCCCTTTTAGCAACATATTACCTCACCTAAACTTAATGAAACATCTCTCATCCATACACAGTAATAAATAACAGGAAATAGGGACATTTTATGTACAAAGATGACATAGGCGGCTATAGATAGCATGATTATTAGCCTGTATTAGCACATCTTGTCCTTGTTACCATTAAGAAGAGAAAATAGAGAAGCCAGATAAAATTAAAAACCTGGATGACATTCCAAGGCCTTAAATGTAGTTATGGACTGGACTGGCTTAAGTAAGCTCTTAAAATTCGTTTCCAAACTTAAAAATATTAAAAATGTTTAGGATGTAGTTTTTATTTTTACTCAAAGCAGCTGCTCCTGTTACAGAGTAATTCTTAAAATGATCTGAAGGTGAAAAAATGACCAAACAGCATTTTATATTTCCAAATGAGGAAACAAAATAAACCCAACCCAGCTGCAGGCATGCGTGAACTAGTCTTACCTGTCCAAGCCGCACAAGACAACTAGATTTACTCTCATGTCAGCAACACTGGACTTACAGTGAGATGGCATCAGGGGGTCTCAGGAAACAGGTCCAGCAAGCAGCCAGGGAATCTCTGTACAAGGCTCTGGTAGATCCATAACGTGCTGTGAGCCAGGTTCTGATGTCACTTACACCATGTAGTGCCTGGATTTGTAACAGTCCCAAACTTCTGTCCCTTGTTTGTTTTACTGCACAAGTGAAGCTGGCCCCAGGCTACATAAGCATATAAAAACCAAGATTCATTTGATGGTTGGTCATATCATAGAGATAACACAACATAACATGTAAGTTGTCACTACTATGAGCTTCTCAACTGCTCTCGCAGAGTCATAACCAGGAGAGGGTGCAATTGCTCATGGCACAACACTGGTCTTGCTTCTCTAGACAACGGTAGGCGCTCACCAGTCCCTCTTCCGACTGGGTTCAGTAGCAAGAGCAAGACACAGGAATTCAAGGCAAAGCAGACCTCAAGACTGCACTTCATTTAAATAGAAGAGGTTCAAACACAAACCAGGTCTTTAACAGCACGCCTCTGTGACTTGGAGAATAAACTCCACACTGATTGTGCTCTTTCTTCATTTCATCCTCAAGTGCCTCGTCTTATTTCCTCCTCTCGCATCAGAAAGGGAGAGTGGCTTAGAGGAGAAAGTGCTCTGTCTGGAACAAGCTGCCACAGGCCATTTAAATGCATATTTACAAAATCCTTTCCTTCTGAAGGCTTCTCTCTGGACTCCTCTGTTTTAATCCCCAACAAAAGAGACGTTATTATATAGCATCAACCACAAATGATGACATCTTTTGACAATCTCTCTGGCTGTGCTGCATTTCCTAAACACACGGCTGAGCACAAGCTCGGATGCACTTCTGCCACTGTCAGATGCACTAAGTTTCATTTCAGCTCTGAAAACTAATCCCTTGGGTCTACCTCCATTTTCAAACACATGGATAAGAAGCTAAATTAAACCTTGAAGAATCTAGAGCAGATATATCTGTATTTTGCTTTTGTTTATTGGTTGCAGAGAAAAAAGTTTGATTATACAGATATCACAAACCTAATTTTCCACATTATTTCAGTAGGAATGCATCACATTATGCAGTTTTTTAATCAAAGATACCCATTTCAGTGTCACTATGTGCCATCTGGTAAACAGGTATCAGAATTTTGCTTGCTACAAGGCACTAAGAGATATTAATGTTCCCCATTCTGCAGTACCAGTCTCAGGGGCAGAGACTTTATGTGGCTTTACAGGCATGTAGGTCAGTGAGCAGAAGGAGCCTTTTCTTTAGCTGGATATTCTGGGACAGCTGTATTGAAATCACTGGAATACTTCAATAACAACAGTAGAGCTTGCCCAAAAGTACTTCTGTAACCACCTGTGCTTTATGCCAGAGCTACAAACTTGTTCATAACCAGTACAAAAGCCCTTAAAGTCCATTACTTTGTTATCAATTTGTGGTGTTCACTGTATTTTATTAACCAAATTACATCATTTCAGTCAATGGATTGCTCTTTAGAGAAAAAACAACCTCACTATAAATACAGATACTGTCATTACTCTGATAGAAGATGTCTCTCAAGGCATCTCTGATTAAGATACTTGGTTATTGAAACCTGCACCACTGCATCAACCAAAATGAATGCTTAAATTCATAGCGGCATGTAACATTTTTATGAAGTCCCACATGAGGAAACAAATGCCCCTGAGGTTCTGTCAATGAAAGAATTTATTTATGGGTTTAGGCAAGGAGCAGCATGCAGCTGGTTATGCCAGTCACAATACTGATGTTTTCCAAGACCCTTTTGCTGGTAACACGGCTGACCCGCAGTCTGGCAACACTGACTGCATCTCTCTGGCTCTATTTATAGAGCTGCAGCAAAAGTACCACAGGATTCTGAACAAAATCACAGTCACTGCTAAAGCTCTGTCTGACCACTGAGCACAAAAGCCTTTTAGAATGACAGAACTCGGCTGTGCCCATTACATGCTTGTGGATGACAAACACGCCTCCCCCATGGGGCTGCATGCAGAAAAGCAAACTCGAAAGGGGAAATCATTGCTCAGGCTTCCAGTTCTATAAATGTTAAATTTGAAGTTTTCCAGTGAGCTTGCAGGAGTTGGGTTTGTTTAGAGAAACGTTGTTTTGGCAATTAAAGTATTTTATAACGTACAGTTGTACCAAAGTTACGCAAGCTGAAAATAATGCAGATTAATATGTGCACTGTTGATTATGGTCATACTTACAGTTCATTACACTGGTCCAGGTGAGGTGCTAGTCTGTAGAATGGAGATGGCTTGAAAATGGGGCAGTTCCACCTGTAACGGGTAAAAGCATTATTATTGTCAAGCAAAAGTGGAAACGCTCTCGATGCCGGAGAGGACACTTGTTTAAACTGCCTCTGACACAAGGAACAGTCAGAGATTATAAACAGCTTCAGAAGGTAAAGCATCCTTTGGTTAGTCTTTGCTTTACTTTCTAGATACTCTCTTTCCAGATCAGATCTGAAGCACTCACAAGTTACTCTCTTTCCAGATCAGATCTGAAGCACTGACAAGTTGTTCTCTAGGGAGACTGCAGCTGTGAGCACAAGTAAAGGTGAATGCTGAGGAGACACCCGAGTATGAGGGGAGCCTAGGAGGGGTACCAGGCCATAATCAGGACTATCAGTATGGAAAGGCAGAAAAGCATACATAGAGAACAGGAAGCCATCCCCAAAACAGCCATTAAACAGAGCCACGCTCTCCTTGGAGTTCAAGATTCTGAACTTAACTGGCAAATTCCTTTGCTGAGAACAGCTTATTTTCACTTAGTCATCCTCTTTCTACGCACAGATAAATGGCATGCTGTAGAAAGGCTACAGCTTGCTTTTAAATCTTCTGGTGTTTAAACCTGGGTATTAGCTTCCATGGTCCATAAAAAGCAGGCAGAAGATCATTCATATTAGTCTTTTAGCTTGGTTGAAGAGCATATTTCTGAGCTGTATCTCCTTAACCTCCCCATTTACTGTGCTGCGGTTCACACCGCTGCGCAGTCTCAGGGCGCTGGAGCTGCACTGCTTTTACACAGCACTAAACCAAAGCACGTGCTCCATGGGCCCTCAAACACCAGACTAGGTTAAGTCCGGAGTAAAACTCCTAAAAGACCTACAATAAGGACATTGGGTCTTCAGTACCAGGTTTGGGATGGGGGTTTTTTTTGCTCTGTATTTCTGCTCCTCTTACACTGTACTAGTTACTAACATAGGCAGAGATTCTTACTCCTCCTATCCAGAGCTTCTTTCCAGCAGTGCAGTATTTACTGGAAAACTTGTTTTTTACGTGAGCTAATCCTCCATTTTCCTCTCAAATTCATTAAGCTTGTTTCTTTCCCCCCAGTCTTTTAAATAAAGGAGATTTTTCACTCAGTGCAGTACCATTCAGAGAAGCAGCGGTGGTAAGCAGCCTACCTTTATGAGGATTAAGTCTAGAAAGTTGGTAGCAAGCATTCAGTCACTTGCTAGTGGTAGTTAATTTCTTCAGTGAACATTACCAAGATGAAATACAGACAAGGCACACGCTCCTATGCAAGTAGTGGCAATAAGGTTCTGAAGGACTCAGCTTAACAGCTTGTGTCAGGTGATGAGGTTAATGGAAAAGAACGTTATTCAGGTCACCTAATCAAAATAACCTTGGTAGAGCCTCACGGAGCCCTGGGGTAGAATAATTTATTCCTCATCTGCTTCCATCACTGTAAGTTAACCCAAGACATAGAAGCAGCTGATTTAAACACGCACTCAGCCTGTCAGAGTAGTGCAGAAGGAACATCAGCAATTACAACGCATTGCCGTCATCTCTGCTGCCCCTCCAGTGATGATACACAGAGTACATCCCTCAGAGCACAGGCTCGCTTTGCATATCCCCATCTTTAAAACCAGACACTTTGTTAAGATGCAGGTTACCAAAGCACTGTGCAAGGGGACAACAAAAATACTGACCACGAGACATGAATGTTTTAGCCCATGCCTGGCCTTTGGAGCAGGCAGGGATGGAAAAGAGGCCCCAGGAGCCATCATTCACACTGTTCTGTCTGGTGTTTCAGTGGCTTGTTTTGTTGCTCAGCTATAATCAGAAATAAGCTTCAGCTCCTGTGACTGAGGCCTTCCACTGATCTTCTCCCAGGCCCCAGGGAGACTCTGTGTCTCTGCAGCACCATTTCCCTTCTTATCCCTTAATGAAAAGTACTGGAAGCTGCCCGGGAAAACATGCCTTCCACACAGCAGCCTGAGCCCAAACAAAGCAGTGCTCCAGTTCAGGACCTCTGATATGAGCCAGAATAAGGGATTTAACATCACTTGATAGATAGCCCCAGTTTGATTCCAGACCTTGGGACAACCATTTTGAGAGCCCTAGATACAGATTTAGGAAGCCTTAGGAGTAGGGAGGAGCAGACAAGATTAACACTATCCCCACCTGCAGCACTACTACCTGTCTGCAAGCACCCATTTCATAGTCTGAGCAACACAAGCACCTCACCTGGGTAAAGCTGAAAATCCTTTTCACAGCCCTGGGTACAGTAACTTCCATATAGAAAAACAAGATGAAACTTGACAGTAATAGGAATGATAGAGAGGGAAAACATTCTTCCTTTGAGGCAGAGGCTCTGAATACAACAGCCAGTGACTGACTGGAAAAGGAGGGGAAGCAAGATAAATGCAGCTATTCAGGGCTTTAAAAAAAATTGCTTCTAAGAGAGAGGAAAAAGAAAAGCCTTTACCTTTCTCTTGACATTTAACAAAGCACCTAAACAAGCCAAACAAAGCAGAAGAATGTCAAAAACCTCACAAAGGGAGCTGCTTTTGGCTGTTTGTTACTTGAAATACGTTTACCCAACCTTGCTAAGAAACACCAAGCCCTCCATGACCCACAGCAGACCCTCATCACCACTCTCTTTTCTTCCCATGAGCTGTATTTGTAGGCTCCCCCCCGGCAGCCTCTGTAGGGACCAGCCTCCTTAGCGAATCCTCTTTACACCTGTGTGTCTGTTGGCTGCCGGAGATTTAACTCCTCATGTGCCACATCCAGGGTAACAAACCTGTAGGATTCCCAAAAATACCTCCAGCCACCCAATGAGCCCCGGTCCAGCAAATAACCCTGTACCTCAGTGTGGGGCTGACCTTTGGGGGAGCGCTGTGTGTTGTCAACTGCCTGCTGTCACGTCTGGGTTATGGAGAGGTTTATCAACCAGCTACAGCCCAGGAGCCTTTAGCTCTTTAGCGCTGGAGAGGCACTTAACTCCCATGGAACTCAGATTCAGAGGTTAGAGCTTCACTCTCTCGTAACCAGGCTCAGGCACAGCCTACAGAAGGATTTCTAGCAGGTTACTTCCTGCTACTTTATCGCCTCTTTACTCCTGGATTTTCACAGGCTGACTCATGTTTCCTATCATTAGCACTCTTTGACAATAGCTTCTCTGAAACACCTCTGACATTTGCGACGGGAAATGGGCCTACTGTTCACCAAACCCAGCAATCACCCCCTGAGCAGCAGGATGCCAACTGCCAGGGCAGGAGCGGTGGGCACACGGAGTACAGTATGCTTGAGTAATGATTAACACACAACAAAGAGAGCTGCCTCTGCTGCAAATGGAAACACACTGCGTGCTTCGGATGTAAGAGCATTTTGGTCTAATTCTGCACGCTGCATATAGTAATAAGTCACAACAGGGTGTGCATTAAGCTCATCTTTTGAGAAGTGCAACAGTAGCTGAATAATGCACACCCTGGAGTGTCTTATTTGTAGTGGACTATGGCTCATCAATTTTACATTTAGATTTTTTCAAACCCATTTAAAAAAAAACAAACCACCAGATCTATTCTAAGGGCAGTTATGTAATGTATCCTGCCACAGAAAGGTATGTTCACATAAAAACAGTGGGCAAAAGGTGAGGAAGAGCTTTGCTCAACTGCAGGTCAGTGTTTGGTTTGGTCTGTGCAAGGCCATCTGCAAGCATGTTCTTGGCATGCCAATGCAGCTATATAATGCAAATAATTACAGTTATTGAAGTCTATTCAGTGTTCCCTATTTTCTAGACTTTTGTATAATTACCTGGGTCTTTTGCCTTTCTTTTTCCATACAAAATTCCACCTTTGGGTATGTGAGCCAGCACCCACTTCAGAGCAGGTAGAAAACATTCAGGTGGGGATGTGACTGCCTTCTACAGCAGGCTGGGAACTGAATCGTCACAGGTTCCTGCTCAGGAGGCAGGCAGGCATGATCTGGGGGGAGACGGTTTTGCTAGAATGGGAGAGGTGTGAGTGTGCATGGATACAACAGGATTTAAAGAACAGAGGGCGTTGTAAAAGCTCTGTTTCGTTATGGCGTCACTTCAAAAGCATGAAGGAGGGACATCTGATTTCTGCTGTTCCACTTGAAATATGACTGTGGTTTATCCCTTTGTATAGGTTCCAACCTTGATGATGGACACTCAGTTTTCGGAATTCACTCCAGACATCACCCCAATAATGCTGGCGGCTCACACCAACAACTATGAAATCATCAAACTGCTTGTCCAAAGACGGGTAACAATTCCACGCCCACACCAGATCAGATGCAACTGTGTGGAATGTGTCTCCAGTTCAGAGGTGGACAGCCTGAGGCATTCCAGATCAAGGCTGAACATCTACAAAGCCTTAGCCAGCCCTTCGTTGATTGCCTTATCAAGTGAGGACCCCATCTTGACAGCTTTCCGACTGGGCTGGGAGCTCAAGGAGCTCAGCAAAGTGGAAAATGAGTTCAAGGCTGAATATGAAGAGCTTTCACAGCAGTGCAAGCGTTTTGCTAAGGACCTTTTGGATCAAGCGCGGAGTTCCCGAGAATTGGAGATCATTCTCAATCACAGAGATGATCAAAGCGAAGAGCTGGATCCCCAAAAATGTCATGATTTGGCAAAGCTAAAGGTAGCAATAAAGTATCACCAGAAAGAGGTAAGAGTCATCTAAATGTGAAGGTGTGTGAAGGTTCCATGTGCTGGGTAAAATAACTCTTATCTCCAGTCTCCATGGATTCTTTCAGGCTTGACAGCAGGATGAGTTTGGGTTGAGCGGAGAGCCCTGTGCAAATGAGTTAGTTGCAAACCAGGAGGTTCAGTGCACCCTGGTGACAGCATGAATCTGGTGACAGTTGAGGGCAGCAGGACTGGGACTTGCTGCAGTGGGTTAGGGCTTCTGCAGCACCGACACTTTCTGTTTCAGGTACTTTAGTCCTGCTTCATTGTAACCCATCACTCTGCAAAGAACAGCCTTCAAAGATTTCCAGGTTTATTTGCTCCAAAAGCTTTTCCCAGTAGCTGCTTTTACACAGGAACCAAAACCTAGCAGGGTTTGTTTGGCTCATGAAGGTCTTGACTACAGGAAACAATACAATATACAAATCACTTCCTCCAACCACCAAATGCTTCCTAGCACCCATTCAACACTAACTCAGAAGGGCCAGAGAAACAACAGCAGCAAAAGAGAGCAGGGGGGATCAAGAGCACTCTCACTGTCCCAGGTCTCCATGTTGCCAGCAATAGGTCAGAATGCTTGTGTGATGCTAGGAGGTGGATCATGACATGCAAATACTTCTTCACACCTGGGATACCTCAGGTTGATCCTTGCTCTTGGATTCTTCTGTGATTTAGGAACTGAGAAGCAATTCCCAGAAATTTAAGCTCCTGCCTGTAGAACCAGAAAGGAAGGATGTTCTTCAGCTAAAGGCCATGGAGTCTTTCAGAAGCCCTGCAAATCCAGAGATTTGTAAGCTGATTCAATAGAGATTTATAAGCTGATTCAATAAAGGCCATGAACGCAAGGAGAATGCCTGCAACAGTTCCATTAGTTGGCTCTGGATTTTCTTTCTCTTTCCAAAGGTGGACATTCAGTACCATTTAGTAGATGATACATATTTGTTGGCAGTGATGTTCCAGGTTATCTGAAGGAGGAATTTAGCTTGCTTAGTTAAGGAGTGAGTTGCAGTGTCCATTACTTTCTTCAGTGTCCAGAGGGTGACAGGCAGGAGTGGCAGAAAAGCCTGCTACATTCCTCTCTTCACTTTCTTCCCCACATTTGATGCTTTGTTTTGTGCACTGATCCATTTGAGGACAGCCTGATATGATGCATTCTGCCTCCCTTAATGGCTGCTTCTGTCATCCCAGATACAATAATCAAGAAGGGAAAGGTGCAGATTTTCCTTTCTTCTTTGGCCTGTTATGCGTCCTGAGTACAGCCCCTTGATGCAACAAGCTGGGGATGAAGTCTCAAGGTTTCTGGGATCTTACACTGGTCACTTACTGCTCTTACTGGGCAACTCCAGTGCAGCGTCAGCAAGGCTCACTTGGATTCATGTCAGGTTGTATTTTTCACTCTAGTTGACAGTAAGGTGACACCATAAGTGCTTTAGGGACACAAACAAGTAGTGAAGAATTAGTCTGGAAAAGGGTAATACAGTAAATCAGATCAAATGTTCCTTGAATCTAAGAAGGGCCAGAAACTCTACTTCTGTTTTATTTACTGGCCTGATAACCACAGATGCTGCATGCACACACATCCTTCAGCAGCCAGGATACCACTGACTCTGCTGTGTGTAGATCACTGCTGATTTCGATGTCTTGTCACAGTTCAAGCTCGCTGTTGACATCCAAGCATAAATCTGTGGCTACCCTTACCTTGTGTTCGCATTAAGCAACTGCAAGTCTGGAGCAGTTCACTATTTGAAATGTAACGCTCAACAGTCCCGAAGCTCTTTTATTTTAAGTAGCAAACTTTTAATCTTTGCTTGCTTGACAGTTTTAATCTCTTTTTTTTTTCAGGCATAGTTGACTGAATTCCAAGCATATGGACAAATTCCATGTTTTGTGACATATTCATGACAGTTCCAGCACATAAGTGATAGCAAATCTGCTCTGTGTTGCCAGCTAAAGACAGTTCTGTTTCCAGGTGGAACACTGGTGGGCTGGGACAGAATGAATGAGTTTGGTGAACCAGCCCTACCAAACCCCATCATCCTCCCTACTTATTCCCACACACCTGATGCAGCCTGCAGCATGGTGTTGTATTCAACAAAATACTGCAGTTGTTCTCATATCATGATATTTAGTCCAGTACAAAACACCAAGCAAGATGCAAATGTCATTGCCAGCTTCTGGATAAAGCAAGTAGGAACATTTGTCAGGGAGACTAAGAAAGGCCTATTAATCATGATTGAAGTGTATCAACCGAGAGAGATTTTGTGGGGATGGGGAGGAAAATAGAAGCAAGTTTGGTGCCATGAAAGACAGTTCTGCAGAGAGAAACAGCAGGATTTTTAAAAGTAGATCATCTTGTTCCACTGAAGCTTTTTATGGCTTCACGTTAAATGGGATTGGATTGGATGGAGAAGCTTTTCGTGTCTTAAAGTTGACAAAGTCACAAGTCAAATCTTTAGTAGCCTAAGATGAAAATCCCAAGTGGACCTTGGTTACGTTCTGTGTCTGTAAAAATTGTTACCTTAGTTGTTAATTCTTTATATTCAGCATAAGCAATGTGTAATCTCCCATTGATTTTAGACTAATTGCTAGCCAAATTCCCTGCAGCTTTTCTTCGTTTTGAGAGAAATAAACCTCAAACTTCCCCCCCGCAATGTGAAATTATTCCATTTCAGCTTCATCAGGCAGAGATGTTCCACATTTGTCTAGAGAAGTTGTTAAGAAGGATTGGTAAAGAGATTGTTGCCTTTGGATGGAGGGGCTCTACTGTGTGTTTTGGGAAGGTAACAGATCTAAAAGTTATTATTTCTTTGTACCAGCTTAAGTGATGTGGGAATTCAAGAGTACTCTTCACAAGCCACGTTATTCAGTGTTCTTCTCTCCCAGGCATTCCAGATGAACCCACTGCATGTTTGTTTTTCCCCCCATTGCACTTCTGTACTGAAGAGTATGTACTGGTTTGATCCAGGTACAGAAAAGTAACAGCATTTACATTTCTAGTGCAGGTTGATGATCTCCAGCAATGAACATACAGGACTGAATAAAATCCTGATGGGAAAAGCTAAATATCTATGGGTAGTTCTTGTTCCAAACTGGGCCCGTGGAGGAAAGCTTTTTAAAGCTAGTTAGGCTGCTTAAATATGCAGGTAGTAGGCAATAAGTTTTTAACAGAGTATAAAGTGGTTAAGTGCCTGAATCCTGATGGAGATTAGACACTTACCTTGCTGAGGCAGTTTGGAATTCCACTGCTGAATTAGCTGCATCTCTTGGAGAAAAACATGATCTTGTGCAGTGAGTTTTAGCCAACAGTTAGCAATCAGCCCCACCACGGACTCAAATCCCTGTTCTCTGCACCGAATCCAGTAAACATGATACACACAACTTCATCTTTTGATCTGGCCCGAGTGCCTCAGTCTTCTCAATGGGCAACCTGGATGAGGGCTGCATTAGCAAGGGGAACCAGTTCACTTCAGTCCCATCTCCAGAGGAATACCAGCTCCACAGAGGCTCCACCTCAGTCTGTGTCCCCAGGTAAATCCCACCAGTGCCTTTCTGCCTGATGATGCAGATGTGGGTTTAATCTTTACAGGGGCAGAGAAATCTCCCATTCTTTTCCTTTTTCCAACAGAAAAGCCTGGGAGGTAGAAGGTTTGATTACTCCCAAACATTACATGTGTTAAGTATTTGATATAGTGTCGCTCATAAGGAAGAAGTAATTTTCCTTTGGAGGAGGGCCTGAACAATGGAGAAAAGATTTCTTGCTTTTCATGTTTGTTTTTAATAAGCCCCTATATCCTAGAAGGTAAATTACTGTTTACAGAGAAGGAAAAATTTCAATTATACAGGCAAGATTAAAATGTGCCCTAAGGTAGCTTTGTAGTGTATTTTACAGTGGTAAATGTTAAAACCATGCTGTGCAGTGTTCACAAGCTCCCTCGCCATCTCATCTTCAGTGTAGAATGATCGTGTTCTCAGCTTCAAATTAGAAAGGGACCCGATAATTTCTTTAGAAGATAGGAAGGACTTGCTAGTTGTGATCACTCTTAGATGGCAGTCACAAAACCTGAGGACAGCTGTAGTATGCTGGGAAATGGGATGAGTTAGATGCAGCGTGGACACGTCAGTTTGCTCGATCCACTTTTGAAAGAAATTGTTTTAATAGGATCACAGCAATCCACAGCCTAAGAAACAAGCAGGCTTTTCAGAAATGCTCTGCAGTTTATGGCACTTCTCTTTGTATTATTACTTATCAAATTCTTTTATTCATGGCTAATTTTGGAAGGAGAAAGGTGCTGAAAACCTAATACAAAAAGGCACAGCTCAGCTGTTGAGGATCAGTGTTTGCTTTGCAGTTCTGGCACCACATTAGCTCTGCATTTGTTAATTTGTTTGCATTTCTAAGAAAAGGTGGGGAAAAGTCATCTCTCAGGATCTTGCCAGTCATGTAAAACACAGTTGTATGTACAGTGTACCATTGCTGTGTTAGAGGATTGGAGCATAGGCGGACTGCAAATACCGTTTTAATGTTCTTTAAGGTTTTTTCACATTGCCAAAATGATGTAAGGCAACCATACTGTAGCAGTGACTCAGGTCTAACGGGGCAGGTTTCTCCTTGTATGTGCTAAGCCTTAAGAAAAATAATATACATTCAGCCTATTCTGCTTTCCTGCCCTCCTTCACAGGTCATTCACATCTTCAAGATGAAGTGAAACATCACAGCAGTGGGGTTTTAGTGCTTTGCATTTTTCTGGTACTGGTAGTTGCAAACGGCTGTGCAGGTTTAGTTGATAGGTCTGCAAGAAACACACAATGCAAAGCAGTCAGAAAAAAACCCTATTTGACCTATAACTATATTGTTTAGCAATATGGATCCTTAGACCAAGGAAGTGCATTAAATTCCCTCAGAGAAACCTTGACTGCAGTCCCTCTTACTCACTCTAATCAGTGACAGGAAAGAAGTATAATTGTTAGCTTTTCCAATTTAAAAACTGTGCTCTTCTCTGTTTCCAGGATGAACCTTCCAAAGTTCTGGTTCTTTTTTTCCAAGACATTTACATAGACAAGTACCTCCTGAGATACAGTACTAGAGCAAATGAATAATCATTCCTGCCACACCGCATCTTTCTCAGCCGTGTCTTGACTTTCGTCATCTGTGTGGCTGCTGTTAGAAGCACAGCAGCATTCTCCAGGGAGTATGTGTAAACCTGGCAAATTTCTAAGGGCACTTTAGTTACTGTATAAAAAGAGCTTTTAAAAATATCAGAAGTGCATGAAGAATGAAGTGTGAGGCCTGTGCAAATCAAAGCTCATCCACTGCACCTTGCTTACCTGTTCTGAAAGTCATTCAGGTATCCTGATGGAAAGCCACAGGTCTTTTTTTGCTTGCAGGCAATGCTAAGTTATTCTCCCGTGGGTTTGTCTGTTTTTATGCCACACTGCCTGGAAGTAGTACAGGGCTGCATATTTGTATTATGCTCTTTAAAGGCACAATAAATAGCTGTTCTGTGAGCCTGCACAACTCAGGAGGTTCATAAACAGGCTTTTACTTCCAGGTTTTTAGAGTGAAGTCGTACCATGTCAGGAGAAGACCTTTATTAGATGACATGAGAGAAGCAAAGCTGATCCTTGCAAAAGCTTTCTTAGTTTCTAATCACCTGGAACATCTGTATCCCTTAGGGCAGTAGGTGGTGAGGACGGTGTGGTTACACTATGTCCAGATGTGTCCTTCACCACAAACAAGAATTTAAGTGTAGGGATTTCAAAAGCACTGAATGTCCAAATGGCATCTTTCATTTTCCAACAGCATTCCTTCATTCATTATTATAGGCAGCAAAGTTACCTCCCCATGCATGATCAGTGGCCTATGCTAAATGAAACTGCTAAATGAACTGGCTTTCCTCAAACTCAATCCCAACAGGCAGGTGACCACCTTACAAAATCTCCCATGTATGTGGTACCACCTGAGCTGTTACCAACAGGCTCAGCAGCAGGACCTTGGGTGGCAGGTGAGGAGCCGTATGTGCATTTGCACCCTTAAAAACAGTCCTTCCTGCCGATGGCTGCTGGGGTAGCAGGGTGAGTGGTGCATGTCTTGGAGCCCCTGCTCTATGGGTTCCTGTACTGTCTCCAGACTTTGAAGAAGAATAAGAAGAAATACACAGAGAATGATGGTTCATCAGTTTGACAAAGTGGACTTGTATGCTTATTTGAGGAAACAGTATTATTTGGTATATTATTCACGTAACACCAAAACATTCAAACTTGATGAAGGTTAGCCATATATTGCAGCTGTCACAGAACAGAAGTGCAGAAGACTATCTTTTGACAGCAAAATCATCTCTGACTAATCTTGCTATGCACAAATACGAGAAAACAACATAAGATCAGTATATCAGTCAAGGACAAGGGCTTTGCTGCTGTTAGTGTAATGTGTAGCAGGCAGTAAATGCCTGGATCGTTGTCCAAGTCATGTTTGGAGCCTCGTGCCTCTGACTTGAGTGATCTCATTGACAAAGACAAGAAATACGTTGAGAGCTAAAGGGATTGACACTGTTTAAGGAACATTCAAAAATGACTTGGTGGGTTTGCCAGTTCCCTTAACTTCATGTATCCCATCAGTCTTCTGTGAGCAAGAGGCAAGGCCTGGGAAGCCAGAGTTAAAGTACAGGACATGTTTGACTGGCTTTCTATGCACAACAGAAACTGGAAAGGAGAAGTGACACCTTGTATAAGCCAAGAGTCTTTCTACGTCTGAAGGTCTAGAGTGTCTTTCAGAGTCAGCTTTGTGTCAGTAGTGGAGAGTACATCATGTTATTTCATACTTCACTTTGAATGATACCCTGAAATTGAAATGGAAAAAGTGCTGCTATGGATTCTGCCTTTTGGCTATAGAAGTGGTCATTGTTATTTATCTGATTTCTGTGAACTTCAGCTTTATTTCTGTTGCTTAGTGAAGACTGTCAGGAAATTCCTTCTTTAAAGAAGTGAGATTCCACTCCTCTTACACCTCTTATGTATACATCAGATTCATCATCATCCAGACAGGCCATTTAGGTGTCTCATGGCTGAGAACACATATTTCTTCACTCCAGGAAAAGTGAGATGGATAGATGGGTTAATCATAACTCCCCAAACGGAGCTCTTGTGCAGCATGGCATTTAGAAGCTGTGACTGCAGGTTTTGTGTTCTTTCTCTACAAACCCCAGCTGGCTGCCGAGTAAACATCCTTCAGTAAAGCATGCGTCCTCCTCACCATACAACAGTGATACTGCTCAGAGCAGAGGTAGCCTTTAGAGATTCCCAAGAATGAGAGAAATGTTTATTGTATGCTGGTCTGTTCTTCCCTGGATATTGGACTAGATTTACTCATTCAGGAGAAGGGAAGGTAGAAAGACAAAACACAATTAAATAGCTTCAGCACAGATATTGCTCAGGTCAGAAAGGAAGCAAATGTGAAATATGACTTTTTATTAATACTAACAGCATAAAGTAGGTCTGCGTTTAAAACACTTGTGAATGACTTTTTATATTCTCCTGTTTGCTTTACTTATCACTGATTTAATGTAAATGTCAGACATCCACTAGGGAGAATAAAGCCAGCCTTTTACTTAAGTCAATACCTCCTCCACTTCAGCTAAAGCCTGTGAGAGCTCCCCATATTCATTCACAAGATCTGTAACTCTTGAAGTGCTGCCTGCAGAAGGACTTAGGAAACTTCAAGGTTTTGCCTCTCAAGAGTTTTTAGCCTGAGTGTTTTTTCAGTGCTTCTATAGGATGTGTCTGATATCCCCTGTTCAGCTCTTGGAAACCAGGTAGTGTGTGTTGTGAATTATCTGACTCTCTCTTAGGTATATTGCTCGTATCCAGCACTTGCTTGTACTGCAGCACTCTGCCTTTGGAAACAGGTCTATTCTAACTTCACAACAGAACCGTATCCTGGAATGCTTGCTGAAATACATCCTGCAGGCATTTATTTGTCAGCTGTAGTCTGCTGTCCGCTAAAATAAACACTGGAAAGGTTGCCTGATGTCTGGGCTCTTGCTCAGGGTCTGACCCACTTGAGCTGTGTTCTGGTGGGGAGTTTGCTGATGGGGGATGGCCTCTCTTCAGCAGCTTGCCTTTCCTCAGTGAAGAATTTAGAATCATAGAATCAAAGAACAGTTAGGGTTGGAAAGGACCTTAAGATCATCTGGTTCCAACCCCCCTGCCATGGGCAGGGACACCTCACACTAAACCATGACACCCAAGGCTCTGTCCAACCTGGCCTTGAACACTCCCAGGGATGGAGCATTCACAACTTCCCTGGGCAACCCATTCCAGTGCCTCACCACCCTCACAGTAACGAATTTCTTCCTTATATCCAATCTAAACTTCCCTGTTTAAGTTTTAACCCATTACCCCTTGTCCTGTCACTACAGTCCCTAATGAAGAGTCCCTCCCCAGCATCCCTGTAGGCCCCCTTCAGATACTGGAAGCTGCTCTGAGATCTCCACGCAGCCTTCCCTTCTCCAGGCTGAACAGCCCCAACTTTCTCAGCCTGTCTCCATACAGGAGGTGCTCCAGCCCCTGATCATCCTCGTGGCCTCCTCTGGACTTGTTCCAACAGTTCCATGTCCTTTTTATGTTGAGGACACCAGAACTGCACACAATGCTCCAGGTGAGGTCTCACGAGAGCAGAGCAGAGGGGCAGGATCACGTCCTTGGACCTGCTGGTCACGCTCCTTTTGATGCAGCCCAGGATACGGTTGCTTTCTGGGCTGTGAGCGCACACTGAAGCCAGCTCATGTTCATTTTCTCATCAACCAACACCCCCAAGTCCTTCTCTGCAGGGCTGCTCTGAATCTCTTCTCTGCCCAACCTGTGGCTGTGCCTGGGATTGCTCCGACCCAGGTGTAGGACCTTGCACTTGGCATGGTTATACCTGCTCTTAAATCCTGCTGCACAGCCATAAATAAAACCTATAGCTGCACACATGTTTAAGCTCTCTGAGTAGAAATGAATTTAATTTCAAGCTTAAATACTTTCTTAATTGCTTATTCCATGGGTAGATACCCAGTATTTGCCTGGGTGCCTTTGTCCTAGACTATGTGGGACTTAAATATTTAAGCCAATCCAACATGATTTTGTGAAAACTCTGCGGTTTTAGAGGTTATTCTGGTTTTTAGAGGTTATTCAGTCTTCCTTTTTGTCAGTATTCACATCACTGGTGAATTTCCAATTGCTAGTGCTTAAGCTGAGTTCATGTCTGCTACCGTCGAGAGATGTGTTATGGATAGGAGACCTTTAGTTAAGATTCATGTGTCATCATCACTTAAAATATTTTGAGAACAGATTAGACAAAATTCTGTATAATTTGAAGCCATATGTTCATCTGTGGAGGATCTGGAGTTTGTTTTATTCACCAGCAAAGGGATTGAGTAATTTGGGTAGCACCTGGTTTTCTTGAAGGACTCTTTCGGCTTAGCTAGTGATCTTGTTAATGGCAGGAATGACTGCCATTTGGATTTGCATCATTAGTTGTAACAGGCATCTGAGTAGCAGCTGGGTGTCTGATAGCATATTCATCCTGTATTTTCCTGAGAAAGAACTACCATCTCTTGGAAGTGCCTGATGAGGGTGTTGGGTTATGGTTCCTTTTCCCCACCTTCCACCACCACCCCCCCAACTTGGTTTCCTTCCTTCTTTTCCTGTTGCAGAAGTAATTAACAGGATGAGCATCCATTAGGTGCTTCCCCTCTGCAGCTCCCACTTCAGCAGCAGAATGCAGATAGCTTTGCAGTCATTAACAAGGTTGAACTTTAAAAAGAAATGTGCTACAAAAGAGGATTTTCTTATTCATCTCACTGTTTGCAACACTGCAAGCTTGAGGAGGCTGGTGTTTCTTATGTAGAATAGCTGGTCTCATAGGGCTTACTGGCTCTCTGCAGCACACATCGAATTAGGCCACAGATACTTTCTGTCTTGGGCTAATTTAGAAACATAGCTCTTTGAGTACTGCCCACTGGAATTTCCTTTAAGAGCCATCAAACTGATGTAACAACCACAATTCCCTTTCTCCTCAGAAGGTCCTGTCCGTGATAGGAAATGGAAGCAGGTGGTTTGTCTCTTGCACTGGATGTTGTGCTACTTGGTTCTTAACAGCAGCATCTGCAGGATTTGGGAGCGCAAGGAGAACATGGATTTTAGAAGTTCATTTCTTTGCATGCCATTTCATGCTCCTGAAGTCAGATCACTTCATTGCACGGTGTGGTCATGTATCTGTTAACGTTGTGCCAAGTGTTAGAGCATGTTTTGGGCTGTTGGACGCTGTGTATTAAGCTTTGTGGGTTAATACATTAAGATTTGGCACTGATGGATAAACCCAAGCGTGGGGTAGGACTGACAGTGAGGAGTTTCCTCACTTCATGGGAGGAAAGAAATCCTTGCCAATTGATTCTGAAAAATCAAGCAAAAAAAAGCTGTGTTCTCCCCAGTCACCTGCAGTTGTATTGGTGGGGGGGAGCAGATGCTTCTGTGCATGTCCCCCCTGCTCACAAACGGGGATGGATGGGGGTATAGACCTGCTGCTCCCAGTCCTGCCTCGCCATGCTGTGCTTGCCAGCAATGGCATTTCTCCTTTTCATGATAGAATTGGATTCACAGAAATCACATGCTTTTTGGGTGCAGCTAGAATATATACTTGTGCTACTACATCAGACACTGCAGTTGCCCCGTTGTCACACAGACTGCAAAATATAGTTCAGTTCGTGTGAAAGCTCCCTCTCCAAGGCCAAAATAGCTTTAGTTGTAGAAGGCAGCAGCATATAATATACCCCCAAACACATAACCTTGGGGGTATGTTTTAGGTGCTGTGGGATTCAGTGCTGCGGGTGAGATCTAACCTATTGAAATGAGTGTCAGGGGAACTAAAGTTAATTTCATGGCTCCCATGCCACATTTGCCTCTCAGTGGTAACCTCACTGGGAGCTGATGTAGCTGACTGATAGAAGAACTCTGTCCTGCTTATTAACACAGGGCTCTGCGGTTACAAATTAGTGCTTATTCATCTATGAAGAGCGTTTGCTATCACCATCCGCAGCAAGAGTACAGAAGAGAGCTCCACCAAACTCCAAAGAGAAGAGCCTGTTGGCAGCCTTCATGATAATCAGAATAAATGCAGAGAAATACTGTGCTCAGCCCCTGTGATGTCTATCAGGGAGCTATTTCAGTTGCTCCCTGAGGCATTCACATCTCAGCCCATCTGTGTCTGATCCTAAATTACTTATGGCTGTGAGAGATAAGGGATTTCCCCATAGATAAGGGGAGGGGGGGGGGGCAGAACATAATTTCTGTGTTTGATATTTATATTAATGGCACAGCACGCAGAAAGCACTTAATTCCCAAGAAGTAGAATGTAGGTGACATAAAAATATCGGTGAAGATTAGATAGGAAGAAAAAGACACTGCCTCCAGCAGCTGCTGCTTTCCCTTGAAAATGGTCCCCTTGGTAGAGGATCAGGTGACAATGAGTTTGGTGAGCATTGAAAATGAAATTCTCTAATAGCACAATCCACCTGCAAGCCAAATGTCACACAAAGACCCTGGCAAGACTGAAGGAAGAAAGAGGGAACATAACAGACTTTGTATTGCAGCAGCCTCTACCCTCAAAGTGCTTCCCAACCACCATGACTGAAGTTGCTGATCTCACTTCTTGGAAAGGCAGAGACACTTACGGCCATTTTCAGAAGCCAGGAGACTGAACAGTGACACGATGGCGTTGTCCTCACAAGAAGGTACTCTGAGTTGCCTCTTGTCTCCTAGTCATTAAGTGAATTGTAGCTTCAGCTGGGACAGGTTCTGCTCAACAGGTAAAGGAGGAGCTTGCCCTTTGGATCGCCTCCCCCAGAAATGCATCTACAGGCTTTGTTTACACGTAGGGACAATCCTGGACAATGTTACGCCAGCACTACCCCAGGATTCATAGCACTGAATGTTTAGTTCATACCTTAGGTGAACTGAGTATAAGTTCCACCTTTTGGAAGCATTTCTTGTCATTAATGCAGCTGTCAGAACATTCTCCATCACGTCTGCGGGATGATGTCTTGTGCTGCCACTTGTAATAGGGACTGGAGGCTCTGATAATGCAGCAGTCCTTGGAAAAAATCCGTGACACCATCTTGTTATGTACTAGAGAAATACACTGTTTGCAAGTTGTGTGCTCGTGTTCTTACACAAATAGAGAGCTTCTGGCACAGTACATCTGCCTCTCATTCTGGACCATCTACAAAACAGGGACAATATACAGGTTTTATACCATCGTGATCTCTCCTTTTCACTGTGCAGAAACTTTAACTGATACCAAATCCTGTCACATGTGGTATGTTGAAGTGAAATGGTACAGGACTGTGATATACACATGCACTATTTCTACCTATGGCAAAGGAAAAGCTTTGCAAAAAAAGTGAAAAAACGTATTTGAGACTCTACTTGGGCTGAAATTGAACTTGGAAAGTGCTCACGAAAGGCCTTGGCATAAGCAGTGCTGGAGAAGTCAATTTGCTTTCCCAGATCTTAGTTCTGTCTATTTACAAAGCAGAAGTGAGACTGTTTCCTTAACTTTATGAAGAAATTAGAGATTGTGGAATGATAACCAAAGTTCCATGATACTATACAGTTTCAGGCTACTTCACACCTGAAAGGCCTAAAGCTGAGCTTTTCCATGGGTTTATATTTTACATGCATTCATCTATCTGTGCACTATTAAATCTGTGATTCATATGTTGGAGTAATATGTTAGTAAAAGCCCACATTAGTAAGTGCTTAGCGTTACCTTCAATAAAGACAGCATTTGATGGTTTGTGACATTAGGGAGAGCTTCTTTCTGCGGTATGCTGAAATTTCCCTTAGGCCTTTTTCAGTGAGGTTGGGATGGGCTTGATTGGAAAATTTAATGGGTTCCATTTAATGGTTTCCATTCCCTTTTGCCAAGCTGGTCTTTAAAGCTGCACTTTCATGATGTGTGAATTTCTCTCCATTTGAAGAACTAACATCAGATACAACACAGCGAGCAGGTTTTAGAAATGAGCTATTAGGCAGAGAAGAGGCGCTTTTAAGATGCTCGCAAGTTGCACAGCAACCAGGGGAACTCGCAGTCATTTGATTCCTCAAATGACTCTGACTTTGACTCAGGGGAAAAACAGTTTTATTCTCCCCTCAGAGCTTTCTCTCATATGTGATGAAGAGAAAATGTGTTTACACGTTTTCCCCCTTACAAAAAAAGTTGTACCTCATCGCAGAGAAATGGCACCATCTATTACCATGTAAATTACTGCAGAACGCATCCAGGCACAGCTCCTGCTTGGGATCTCAAAAGAGAATATATAGCAGTGTAACCTTCTGTTTCTTCTGGCTTTTAGACAACCCATGCTGACCCTTCTGAAATCACAGATTAAACCCCAGCCAGCTAAAGGACAATCAGCGCTGGATGGTTTTTCAGTGTCTGTGGAATTGTTTCTTTCACCAGTTTCCGCATTCCAAGTCTCCAGACTTTTACAGTTACATTTTCTGATCGTTGCAGGCTGCAGGTCTTGGTTTCTTCTGGAGTTCATCACCCCATCAACTGTTGTCCAGTTTCTGCTGCACACGTGTGTAGCTTGGTTCCAAATCACGTGTGTTTCTGATGTTGTCTCTTGATGCCCTCTGGAGCAGTGTCACTTGTATGTTAGATGCAGCAGTCTTATTTATTATAGTAATAACAGATAAACATCCCACTTCATAAATGCCAGTTATTCCTCTTGGAGATCGATCTTTCAATACTAACTCAGGTCAGCTCATCTGTTCGAACTACCCATTCCAGAATGGTTTGATTCTGATATAAACAGACTGATGTAGCATATAAAATGTATTCACAAGATCTAAAAATACCTACAGAAATGAATGACTTTATGAGACTGAGCAACTTGGTTTTCCCTTTGCTTGCCCTTGGTTTAGTCTTCTATGAAAGGTGTCTTCTCCTTGGTAAATGCTGTTAGAACTATGGTGTCCACTGGAAGTGTGGTTCCTTCTGATACAGCTGTGTCCTATCAGAGATGTATTTATATTGCTGCAGGAGTATGTTTATCAGTAACTGTATCCATGCTAAGACAGTTTTTCTGGTTTCATTATAGCAAAGTGTAACGGGCATCCTCAAACAACAGTTGAGATTGCTCAGTGAGACATCTGAATTTGTTAGCTCAGAAGTGTAACTTCATTAAGATGGATTAGCAATCAAATGTGTAAGGAAAACAAAGCTGTCTTGGTCTTGCAGACATCTCTAATGAGCGATGGGAAACGTTTTGAGAACCATGGGGCTGTCAGGGTACAATCAGGAGCACAAAGTCTGCTGGCATAGACCAGAGTTTAAATTTCCAGAGGATGTTAGGTGTTGGAGCAGTCTGAAATAACTGCAACCTGAGCGTGTCTGGTATGGAGTCACTGGGATGCAGTAAATCGCCATCAGAACGCTGTTTTTTGCAGAGTGAAGGTGAACTTTCAGTGTCACTTTTGGTACTGACCAAAGATTTCTGTTTGCCTCTGCTTCATCCCTTCCGTTTTACAGCTGCTCTCCTCTGTAACAGCGAGGCACGTTTACAGACGTGCTGTCCTGCTTCCCAGCAGACATCGCCTGCCTTCACTTCACATTACTGCATGCTGTCTCATGCCCCCCCCCAGCCCACACACACATATGCTGGCCTCCTTGCACTAAACCACGTGCTGCACCCCACACGCTTCTGGAGGCATTCTCTCTCCCTCTCTCACACACCCTTTCCCTCTTGTCTCATCTTTTAGTCACTTTCTAAAGATGCTGACGCTGATTTGTTTGAGGCGGTCGAGACCTGAAACACTCTGAGAAGAAACGTGCTGGAAGAGAAACACATGGGAAGAGAAAAAGCTCGTAGTAGTTTTCGTTGTAGCTCTTTTGCACAAGGCTTCCTGTGTGGTGAGCGAGTGATCTACGTAAGGATGCTTCAAATAGAAAAACACTCCCAGAAGAAATCTTAAACCCTATGCAGAAAAACAAGAGTGAAATCTCCCTCTTTTCTACCCTCTGTCTCCAAAATACGCTTTTCCACTCCATAACCAGCCCTAAACTCAATATGAGGGTCTGTGTGGGCTCTAACACATACGTGAGGGGGAGTGCACATAAAGTACCAGTCAGTAATGATCTTTCTTTGGTTTTTCTTCCTCTCCTCAGTTTGTTGCTCAGCCAAACTGCCAGCAGCTACTAGCAACACTCTGGTATGATGGCTTTCCAGGATGGAGGCGGAAACACTGGGCAGTAAAACTCTTGACCTGTGTCACCATTGGACTGCTATTTCCTGTGCTATCCGTGGCATATCTGATTGCACCGAAGAGCAGGCTGGGACTGTTCATTAAAAAGCCATTTATAAAGTTTATCTGCCACACCGGCTCTTACCTAACCTTCCTCTTCATGCTCCTGCTGGCGTCGCAGCACATCGTCAGGACTGACCTTCACATGCAGGGACCACCTCCCACCATCGTGGAATGGATGATCCTGCCCTGGGTTCTAGGTAAATCACAAACACAAACATGCCTGAGCCACAGTCTCCTGACTCGCACCCATGGCAACTGTGGGGAGACTCATTCCTGATCTCAGCATCAGCAGCATGTAAAGAGATTTGGCAGCCAGCTTCAGTAACTGCATAAAACAGCTGGGCTCCTTCTGGAACAACAGATCCCGTTGGCCTAGGGCTCTTCTGCTGTTCATATTGCCATCTGACATGCCATCAGACATGACCCTGAGTAAACCGCAGCAGACACAGCTCTCTCCTTGCTTCCCCCATGCTCTGTGTGAGGAACGGGTTAGGAATTAGCTTCTGGGTCATGCTAGTAACAAATAGTGTCACCTCTCATGCTGGCTTACTTCTGCTGGCTGATACGTGGCAGAAGCAGTGCCCAGAGCCTGACTCTGCTTTCACCCTCTCACTGATCTGTGCCCAGAGCCAGTGCACAGGTACCAGACCTGATTCCTGGGGTCCCAGACTCCCAAATAGCCTAAGGCCGGCAGAAAAGGTAAATCTCACTCTGCCGTATGCCTCTGTGCTAATAAACACCGACTAAATCAATATCTACTGCTCTAATATAAGCACTGGAAGGAGAGAGTGTTTATTGCAAGGAGGCTCTTACTGCAGTCACAGTGGGCAACCACAGCTGTGAAGAAAAGGTGCCTGTGTTCCTGAGGGCAGGACGTACAGGTGAGGTAGTGAGATGGGACAGGGGAAAGCAGATAGAGCCTCTGAGGGGGAAGAGCAGAGAAACCAAGTTGGATGTGTTTTTTATGAGAAAGAAGCATTTACCCTCTCAAACTGAGCTTCAACACAAAGGCAAGCAAAAACCTGAGACCTCCATTAGAAGCATGATCTCCCCTTTAACTACACTCACATCTCCTTTGCTGTGCCATGAACATGTAGCACCACTATGAGCTGGGGTGTTACCAGAAGGCCTGCTCACTGGAAGTGGTTTCCATACCTTTACAGCTCTCCTCCATCCTCTGCCAATACAGCCCTGGTCAGTTCATTGCAAAACCCCAGAGATCAGGTACCAGTGAATTAAGACTGTCTGGTAGGGGTCAGTGGCCTGGAAAGCCACACTGATGCTGGTGGAAAACAAGAAAATAAGAGTTGCAAACAAAATCCATTCCAATGGTGACCCAGGGCACTTTGCCTCTTCCATAGCTCTACCACAACTTACAAATGGTAACTCAAGGCTCACCGTCTTATTAAACTGATTGCTGGCATTGAACACGTGTTGGTAGAAACTCCAGCATAAGCTGAGGAGGTTAAACGTCTCTATTGAGCTTAGGTGATCTCTTCACTTTATCCTTAACTTTGTGGTTAAAACTGAGGGAAATGGTAAACATTTCAGCAAAATTGATTAGCTGAAGGATAATCCATTAAAAAACCCCTGTCAAAGTCACCTCTTACAGCTGCCTGCTCCTCCTTTGGAGTTCCTGTGTTTTGGGTAAGTAGGGATATTGTGGGACTGTGTATTGAGAAATTAGAACAGTTTCACCAGCATAAAGGTTATGATTTAAGAAATATTTTCCACAATAAAAGGAGAGAGAGAGCAGGCACACACGGCATTGCTGTAACTATAGTAACCAGCAGCAATAACTCTCTATAAATACAGTGCATGAGTTCTTCAACAGGCTCCTCTCTGTTGATTTATTTCATTCCATGGTTTTGTGTGCATGCAGAGATTTGGAGGCAGCTGTAATAAAACCACCCCGTTGGCCTTGACGTTGCCTGACCATTGACCTGCTGGCTGGCAGCTGAAGAGCTAAGATAGATATTTAGGTGTTTGCAGCAGTTCATTTCAACGTTATCTGCTCTTCAGATCGAGCTTTCAGGTCCTAAAGCTGGAGTTGCAGGTAGCATTTCAGTGACCACTGCAGTGTCCTGTGGTTAGGGACAGGTAGCAATTTGGGTAACTATGTTGGTAATGCACCTAAGGTGTATTTTGTTGGTTTCTTTTTCTTTTCACATGTTTCGGGTCTTCATTCAAGGAAAATGTTGTAAACTGAGTAATTTAAAGTATCTGGGGGCTCTATAGATACTCTCAGAAGCATACAGATGATGAAGGAGCCTAGCTGCCATTTGCTTTTAATGGGACTTAGGCTTTCAAAAATGCTTAAACAGTTCTACAGTAAAGGACACGTAAGTTACTTAGAATTAGAATTGTGAGTCTAGCAGTCAGGTAAGGAACTTCAGAAGCTGGCCCTCTCCCCACCAGCCCCAAGGAGGTAGAGTGAAGGTTAGCAGGTGCCAGAAATGATTACCAGAAGGCATTTCAGAGTTGAGATGATGGGCTCTGGCCGTACCCTCAGGAGCAAATATTCACCTCACAGAACCCATAGCCGTATCTGACACCAGGTGAGTCAGTCCCACTGCCAGGCTGCAGTGCCTTTCTTCGTGCCGAGTCCTACCTTTTCTCACAAGTGGTCCCAATGGGCTTTTTATGCAGCAAGAAGCATCAATACAGTGACTGAGCACAGAGAATGAATTCACTTCTTCCTTCTTTGGTGTGATATTTCTAGGTCAGGGAGGAAATGTACTGGCACACAGAAGCCGGTGCTAGGGTTGCATGTTCTGCAGAGACAGTCAGGAAAAATCAGTGCTGTCCAACTGAGCAATGAGTTACTGATAGTTTCTGGGAGAGCAGACAATCTGTTAGAAACTATATAAAATACAGTGGCTTAAATAGTTTATTCGTGTAGAACAAATTTGACCTGAGCCAATCCGCTCATACTAGCTGTAATTAACATACATTTCAAGCAGTCTCCTTGTGTGTATGTCTGGAGCCCTACATAGGAAACCTAGGTCTTTTTCATCTCTCTCTAGACTACATTCCCCACAGAGTTGTAAAATGCTTCGTGATCAGCACTATTGTACTTTGTCAAAGACAGGAGGGATGAGACACTTTTTCCAAGCTATTAATTTAGAATTGTCTTTTATTTCAGCAGGTATACACAGTGCTTTAATGGCAAATAATACCTTGTCATGTCAATGAACTCTCTTTCTTTCTACAGGTTTTATCTGGGGAGAAATCAAGGAGATGTGGGATGGTGGATTCAATGAGTATGTACATGACTGGTGGAATCTGATGGATTTTGCAATGAACTCCCTCTACCTTGCAACTATCTCCCTTAAAATTGTTGCCTACGTCAAGGTACGGTATCTTGGGAGAGATAATTTGTAACTCGCTTCTGAGAACTGTAGTGCACAGGGTAGTAGCTGTCAAAATCAAAGAGAAAAGCTGCTTTTTCACCTGGAAATTCACCTGGAAAGCTTAGGAATTTGTTTGGAGAATGCTCATCCTTCTCACCCTGACTTTTTAATCAAGACTGAAGTAGATTGTTTGGGCAGTAGGTAGAAGTTTGCCCATTTGGTGTCAATTTTGTAGCTCCTCAGTTGTCAAAGATGTGTTTTGTTTTCTGTACTGACACTGGACATCTTTCAACAATGCTAGATATAGGGAAAACATGAATTTAAAATAAAACAGTAAAGTTAAAAGCAAGAATAGGGTTATCTGAAAGCATCTGCAGCCAAGATTTATAACCTGTGAAAAGTCTACCAAGAAAAGCAGGCCTGCTAGTAGGAGGCTTCTGTCTCATACAAAAGAGTCAACTTATTCTCTTCAATATATAGTTTTAAACCATAGGCAAAGAAATGACAAAGGAGCATGCTGGAACTTTGATATTGTGTAGACGCTTCACTGCCATCTTCCATTGATGGCAAGAATGCACAGCAGAGCTCATCCTCAAAAGCACCTTCCACATTTATCAACTTCTGATGCTCCATTTAGCGTATGCCCATGTTTTGAAGCCAGAGAATGGCCTGAAGCACTTTCCTTCTGTCTCTCTGTTTCAAAGACCCAGACAAGGCACAAATGGTCTCCTGCAAACTTCTTTATGCAATGGCTCTGTGACTTCAGTCTGTGCGTGCTTGGCCTGGTTCTTCTCTTGGTCTGAATCTGCGGTAATCTGCAGTAACTGCACTGCAGTGAGTGTAATTACACAGGTGTAAATCAAGTAATTGAAGTCTGCTCCTTGGCCATTTGTGCACTTTCCAGGTTCCCTGTGCTACTGTGTTGGTTTTGTCCTGCTAGAAGAATACTGCTTGTTTTAGCCCAGCTCCTAATAACCAGGACAAGCACTTCCCCCAGGTAACCTTGTTTAGTCCCACCCAAGCATGTGCACAGGCAGAGAGGAAATGAGGAGAAAGCAGCACAAAGCTCATTGACTCCACCATGGCAAGCAGTCTGCTGTGGGGTCTTTTTAAAAATCCAGGATGCTGCATAGCACTGAGTTAGCTTTTCAAAGGGAAGAGCTTTAACATAGCTGCTGCTCCCTGAAGAGGCAGCTCTGTAACAGCATCAAAGCAGGAAGAGATTACATCTTTTTTCTCCCAGGATTCAGAACCAGGGAGGAAATTACAGACTTGAAAGGTTGGCCTTTAAACTGAGAGCAATAAAAAAAAATAATGCTGGAAATGGGAAGATTCACAAACAAATCTTAAAATGTTAACAATCTTGTTCTTTCTCACACGCAAATGACTAGAAGAGCTGTGCATCCATAGACTTACACAGTCACATACTGAGATTTAAGCTCATAGCCAAACCACATGTACAAAGGAGGTACAGCTTTGTTTGTATACTCTGTAAGAGCTACAGTTACTTACAGGCTGACTACAAAGACCTATATGCCAGTACACAAAAGGAATATATCTGTCTCTGAGTACAGATCAGACCCTCTTGGATTAAACCTGGCTGATCTAAGGTCTGCTCCAGTGTCAGACAATTCTGAGAGGTGCATAAAATCTCCTATCGGAGTAGTTCTGAACCAGCATGCCCACAGAAGTTCCCTTCTAAGTGTCATGTCACTTAGAGGCTGCAGTATGCTCTGAAACATGAGGATATATAACACTGATAATGGCTTCAAAACCTTTTGCAACATGATTTGTAAAGGTTTTTGTTATTTATAGAGGAGCCCCGAGCTGGAAAAGGCTG